AAAGAGCTGAAAGGAACGTGAAAAATTAATGGTTGAAATTAGTCGATGAATTTCGAGATACTTTACGAGCGAAGTAACACGGTGGAAAAGAGAAAAGAAAAGAACTGCACGGACGGTTACAGATTAGAAAGCGGCGATCAATTGTAAAAAAAAAGTATCTCTTTCTATCGATACTTATTGTATAATACGCTCTATCCGCATGTTACTTGATTATTCTAACGTACCTGCACTTACTATAGTTAAACTACAGTTACATCGATTTCCCTTCCCTATTTTTTAACCCACTCTGTCTCCTCGTTTCTTTCCCTCCCTTTCTCGATAAAAACATCTAGCTTATAGAAGTTTCTCGATCAATTAATTCCTTCACCCTTTCTCTTTCCTCTCTTCTTCTTCTTCTTCTTCTTCTTCTTCTACTAACTTATTTAATAGTAACTCTCCAACTGACGATACAAAAATTTTACGAGAAAAAGAGAAGCAATGAACGCTCTTCGAGAAAGCTTCCCGGTTCTTTACTCAAGAATTTTAGACCCGATCGAAGGAGACATTATTGTTCACAACGCTTCGTGCGTACCATTGTAAGTCTTGAATACATTGTACATAATATACTATATATAACGTGCTCGTTCTGCGATACTAACGGACTATTGTAAATAAAAGATTGTACGATTTCGTTTGAAATATACGGAAACACGTTTTCTTTCCTTTTCCTCCATTTTTTCTTTTTTTTTTTTTTCCATTAAAATTTCGACCGGCGCGAAATATTTCCATCAAGCGCCAGAATCGCGAAGAATCGATGAACATTTTTATCGCGTCAGTTTTCTTTTCTGCGTAAATTCGAGTGCCACTTTAGTGCTATTTATCCGCACACGTAGTGTAACGATAACAATTATCCGAAGAGCTTTTAAATTCCAACACCAGTATCCCTCGCTCGATCCAATCTAGATTTTCGAAAATATTTACAGAATCATTAAAAAGGTCACACAAAAATTTACGCTCGATTCTCACGTGTTTTAAGAGATAATTCTTTTCGATTGAATTTAGTATCAACAAGTTTAACCAAAGCTCGCAATCTGTTTCGTATTAAGCGAAATGTTTGCTCATACTGAGAAACTTCACAAGAGCTTCCAGAAACTACGACAAATATTTAATACTGCATTGAACCGTTGAGACTGTGGTTAAAATCATTATGAATCCCTGAATTGTTTACTGAATTATGCAATTACATCAAAGAGCGAGAAACTTAGGAACTACAGATAGGTACAGCTTACACGTAACAGTGAAACTCTGCGATTATTCGAGATACTATGAATTTGGAATGGAAATTGCACGTTAGAGACCTCTTGCAAATATCATGTGCCTATATAAAGAGAACAATTTCTATTTAAATTTGTTTTTGCAAATATATAAGATACTGCTTATAGATTTGTACTAAATGTATATGTACAAATATAGGATCGCAGTTTAAACTTTAAGAATCTTTGAAAGCGCTCTTAATTCAATACTTTAGATTACCCGATAATAAGATTTGTAGCGTGACGATTTCAGTTGAATAACTGCCTAACATCCTAACACATGAAATATTTCTATCATTTCATTTCCTGATTTCAAACTTTCCTGAATGGAATATCTGTGGAAATTATTGTGAAAGCTTCGCGAATGTTTCTTTTGGATAACAAGTTTACATCAATATCAGCCGATAATTATTAGTACGTAGAGAAAAAT